ATGATGAGGCGCCCACTAAGTGCAGGTCGAAGTTTGCTCAGGACCGAGATGCCAAAAAGAGGAAGGAGGGCATTGTTGATAATACTGTGTTGATGGAAGCCAGTGAGTATAACTCATCCTTTAATCTTATATTTTTGGTTTGCTGGACTTGAGTCCTGGAGGTGGGAAGAACAATGACTGCAGTGGAAGTGAGGATAGGGGTGGAGATATGTTGCAGTTTTTGAACTGCAGTATTGGTCACCCTGCTGATGTATTAAAAAAAAAGTTAGAGATACCTGAGTTTTGAAAGTGAGATGTGGCATGGCTTTTTTCATGACTACAATGTAACTTTTATAGTAAGATATGCCATTTACTGTACATTAAACCTTTAAGGCAAAGAACCTTTATATAATGGACTTTTGAAGTAATGGACATAATCCACTGGTTCAACTGTACTTTTATATTTTGAATGTTTATTATAATGTAACAGTAAATTACGTGTACAATACTATAACTCACAAAACTGTAATAACACAATTGCAAACAAATCTGCCATGAGTTCCATCCTCACCTGCTCCATGATTTATTCATGGTACTATGTTAAATATACTCAGTACATATGTGCTTCTTTTGTTATTTTTAACGTTATTCTGATTTAAGAGACACTTGGACAATCCTCTGTTAGTGCGTTATATCAAGGGTTAACTATACTATAAGTATAAGGACAATTTTTTTTATACAAAAAATTGGCTGTTGACTTACAAGAAGAACATAAAGGTACAATACAGTGACTGGAATAATACACAGATAACCCACATATTTATTTATTTATTTATTTATTTATTTAAAAATTTGTGCACACATACAGAGGTACAAAAAATACAGAAAAGAGCAGTATGCCAAAGCCACTTATACTATGCATAGCATTACGGGCTGGCTTAAAATTAACTTAAGATGAACTAAGCAATGATGACATCGGTGATAAAACTTTAATGTAAACAGATTACTATAAAGCACAAGTGAGTATTACAAAGACAGGTCATATGGTTGTATGCATTGTTGTACATTCAGTAGAATGGAGTATTCTGTTAGGTAGTGTATTTAAAAAATAATAAAGTTAGTTTGGGGTTTTAGGTTTTAACATTTATGTGATAAAATTTGGGTAGAAACATTTAAGATATACAATTTATAAGGTTCAGTTATTCAGTATTTATTGGTTTTGGGTGAGTAAGTGATCTTTTAGAAGAGACTTGAAATTTTTAAACAGGTAGTTTTTTCTTTTATATTTACAGGTAGTGAGTTCCAGATTTTAGGGCCTTTTATGTGCATTGAGTTTTTGCATAGTGTGGATGGAAAACGAGGAACATCAAAGAGTGATTTTGTGCCTTGTTTTTATGGTCATGTGTTCTGTTGAGGTTGGCAAGGAGATGTTTGAGGGGAGGGTTAATATCAGAGTTAAGTGTTTATGTATGTAATAGGTGCAGTAATAAGTATGAATGTTTTTGTTGGTGAATAGGTTTAGTGTATTGAATATTGGTGGAGTGTGCTGCCTATAGTGAGAATTTGTTATCATTCTAACTGCAGCCTTTTGTTGGGTAATTAGTGGTCTGAGATGGTTACTTGTTGTTGAGCCCCATGCACAAAATTCCATAGGTGAGATGGGGTAAATAAGAGAGTGATATAGGGCCAGGAGGGCTGACTGTGGAGCATAGTACCGTATCTTCGATAGTATGCCTACGTCTTGGAAATTTTCTTAGAAATTTGTTGTATATGTGTATGAAATTTGAGTCTATTATAAAGGGTGGATTCCTAAGAATTTTCCCTCTGTTAGCTTTGTGATAGGTGATCCGTTTATCATTATGTTAAGAGGGACATCTGTAGCTCTGTTACCAAACTAAAATGAAGTAGGTTTTGTCAATGTTTAGTGTAAGTTTGTTAGTCCTCATCCAGGTAGATATTTTCTGTAATTCTGTATTTACAGTATTGGCTAGCGTGACTGGGCTTCGGGTGGGAGAAGCCCGTATGTAGTGTCATCTGCAAATATTTGGGGGTTTGAGTAATTGCGAAGCATTTGGTAGGTATTTATGTTTTGGAGAAAGAGAAGAGGGCCAAGGACACTTCCCTGTGGGACACCAACTGTAATTGGTTGTGCAGAAGAGTTTGCCCCATTTGCATACCATATTGGCTTCTGTTGTTTGAGGTATGACTTGAGGTATTTTGAGGGAGTGCCCTCTTATACCATAGTGTGACAATTTTACGTGGAGCAAGTCATGGTTAACTGTAACAAAAGCTTTACGTAAGTCAATGAAGATCCCCAGTGGGACTTCTTTTTTCTCTATTGCAGTGTATATATGTTCTAGGCATGTGTATAATAGCATCATTAAATATTTTTTTTTGGCCTTGAATCCAAATTGGCAGGGGTTGAGTATGTTTTGGGAGATAAGGTAGGAGTAGATTCGTTTATGAATTAATTTTTTTGAAGATTTTTGAGAGAGGGTGTAGTTGGATATTGGCCTATAGTTATTCAACTCTGTTTGGTCTCCTCCTTTGTGGATCGGGGTGACCCTTGCTATTTTGAGTACTGTGGGGAAGGTGGAGGATTCAATGGATTTGTTAGAGAGTGTTGCAATGATTGGTGATAGCACTTGTGACACTTTTTTGTATATAAAGGGTGGTAAGGTATTTAAATCTCCTGCCTTGTTTTTTAGCGTGTTGATAATAAGGGAGACTTCGTATGGGTTAGTCGGAGCTAGGAACAGTGTGTTCGGGTAGTTGCCAGTGAGGTAGTCATTTGGTGGGGTAGAGGAGAGAGAAGCTTACGATAGTGTTTCAGTCCGACTTGGACTATTTTCAGTCACACTAACAAAAAGAGAGAGGAAGCCAGTACGTATATACATATGCGAGCTTAACAAGGATGGGACTGACCCCACTACTTCTACTACTACTACTACTACTACTACTAATAATAATAATAATAATAATAATAATAATAATAATACTGCTGCTGCTGCTGCTGCTGCTGCTGCTGCTGCTGCGTGCTGCTGCTGCTGCTGCCCGCCGCCGCGCCGCCGCCGCCGCCGCCGCCGCCGCCGCCGCCGCCGCCGCCGCCGCCGCCGCCGCCGCCGCCGCCGCCGCCGCCGCCGCCGCCGCCGCCGCCGCCGCCGCCGCCGCCGCCACTGCTGCCGCTGCCACTGCTGCTGCCGCTGCTGCCGCTGCTGCCGCTGCTGCCGCTGCTGCTGCTGCTGCTGCTGCTGCTGCTGCTGCTGCTGCTGCTGCTGCTGCTGCTGCCGCCGCCGCGCCGCCGCCGCGCCGCCGCCGCCGCCGCCGCCGCCGCCGCCGCTGCCGCTGCCGCTGCTGCTGCTGCTGCTGCTGCTGCTGCCGCTGCTGCTGCTGCTGCTGCTGCTTGCTGCTGCTGCTTTACTACTGTTCCCACTATTTTTGTCTCCTTTCACCCTTTCCTTCCCTTACTGTCTCATCCCACTAAGACTACTCTCCCTACTTTCTTCTACCACTGCTACTTTCTTCTATCACCAGCCTTACCACTATGGTGTCCTGTGGCATGGTGGGTATAGCTCTTGCTTCACATGGCATGGGTCTGGACTCAATTCCCAGTGAGGGTAGAAACATTGGGCATGTTTCTTTACACCGGTTGTCTATTTTCCCCATCAGTAAAATGGGTACCTGGGAGTTAGTCGACTGGTGTTGGTTGCAACCTGGGACAAAACTGACCTCCTTTGCCTGAATTACTCTGCATAACAAGTGACTTTCTATATTGTAGTACATATGTCATTGATGTCAGCTAGGACTGTATACCTTGTACATGTACTTGTAGAAATAAAGATATTATTATTACGTATATTATTATTATTATTACCACTACTACTTCTCCCTCCCTTGGTCTGTCTCTTAAACTGGCCTATACAGCCTCTCCTCACTTAATGACGGAGTTGTATAAATTAGATTCACTTATAATTAATAGAACTACTGTACAACTATGATAATTTTTTTAGTGATAAGTAGTCAGTAAGCCATTAAATTAAGTTGGCCCATAATGCCTAGAGATAATAGAGGCTCTCTTTGCACTGCAACCCATTATTGTAAAAATATAATCTCAATGTACTACTTGCAAGGAAATAAATGAATTTGAATTTGAATTTGAATTCTGTTCCTAAGACCACATCGGTAAATGAATTTGTCGTTAAGCGAGGAGTATACGTACATTAATGGTAGTGGGATTGTGTCAACAATCTTTAATATTGTTTTAATGTCACCTTTGCACCTTTTATAACATTTTTGGTATTTTTTAAATGTTTGTATACTAGTGTACTGTATATTTTAATAAACAATAGAGGAAATCAGCTCTAATATACATTATTTAGGTATGTATACTGGTCAGAAAGCCCATCATGAGTCCGAGGCATCAGTAAACGAGCATGTCGCTTAGGGAGTAGAGGCTGTATATACTGGCTCCCTCTCTTTTTTGTTAGTTTGTAAATGGCCCAAGTCAGACCAAAACGTCTTTGTAAGCTTCTCTTTCCTATGTGCGGGTTATTAGTGACTTACAAGAAATTGGTTTTTGACTTGAAAAAATTAGTTGTTGACTTATTCATGGATATCATTTGCTAGGGGTTGAAATCCATTAACTGTTATCATTGTACACTACTTGGGATTTCTGCTGTTGGAAAAGCCAATCAGTGACACAGATAAGGTGCAGGTGACTGAACACCCAGCAATATATTGATATTATCTTAACCCTTAATCAGCCCACAGTCCACCAAATTGAAAGCCCTCTCTGTGTCCACAGCTATGAAAAACAAATATGTATCTTGTAAAATGGTAGAGAATCTTTTTCTGAAGGTGCATCAGTAATACAAAAGATGCTAGTGATTCTAGTGAAATTCCAGCAAGCAATAATTACTTAGATCAGAATGAAAATAAGTTTTGCAAGATCAGTCACTAGTGACATGGCTCTCGGTCAAATAGATTGTTTTTTATTATTATCACACTGGCTGATTCCCACCAAGGCAGGGTGGCCCAAAAAAGAAAAACTTTCACCATCATTCACTCCATCACTGTCTTGCCAGAAGGGTGCTTTACACTACAGTTTTTAAACTGCAACATTAACACCCCTCCTTCAGAGTGCAGGCACTGTACTTCCCATCTCCAGGACTCAAGTCCGGCCTGCCGGTTTCCCTGAATCCCTTCATAAATGTTACTTTGCTCACACTCCAACAGCACGTCAAGTATTAAAAACCATTTGTCTCCATTCACTCCTATCAAACACGCTCACGCATGCCTGCTGGAAGTCCAAGCCCCTCGCACGCAAAACCTCCTTTACCCCCTCCCTCCAACCCTTCCTAGGCCGACCCCTACCCCGCCTTCCTTCCACTACAGACTGATACACTCTTGAAGTCATTCTGTTTCGCTCCATTCTCTCTACATGTCCGAACCACCTCAACAACCCTTCCTCAGCCCTCTGGACAACAGTTTTGGTAATCCCGCACCTCCTCCTAACTTCCAAACTACGAATTCTCTGCATTATATTCACACCACACATTGCCCTCAGACACGACATCTCCACTGCCTCCAGCCTTCTCCTCGCTGCAACATTCATCACCCACGCTTCACACCCATATAAGAGCGTTGGTAAAACTATACTCTCATACATTCCCCTCTTTGCCTCCAAGGACAAAGTTCTTTGTCTCCACAGACTCCTAAGTGCACCACTCACTCTTTTTCCCTCATCAATTCTATGATTCACCTCATCTTTCATAGACCCATCCGCTGACACGTCCACTCCCAAATATCTGAATACGTTCACCTCCTCCATACTCTCTCCCTCCAATCTGATATTCAATCTTTCATCACCTAATCTTTTTGTTATCCTCATAACCTTACTCTTTCCTGTATTCACCTTTAATTTTCTTCTTTTGCACACCCTACCAAATTCATCCACCAATCTCTGCAACTTCTCTTCAGAATCTCCCAAGAGCACAGTGTCATCAGCAAAGAGCAGCTCTGACAACTCCCACTTTGTGTGTGATTCTTTATCTCAAATAGATTGATTAAAACAAAACAAATCACCTAACCCTGATGAACTAGTCTTTTCAGCAGATCACTACAAACAAGCATTATACTAGATAAGTGGAAAATGGCAAATCTACAAAGTGGGAGATAAGTCACTAGATTCAAATTATAGATCATATAGGCTAATGTCCATTGTAGGAAAATTGATAGAATCAATAACTGCTGAAGAAATTTAAAGCCACCTTGAATGATATATATTTATAAATGAGTTTCAGGACAGTTTCACAAGGGACTTTTTAGCTTTGTGAATTTGCTAACTTTATTCACCAAGGTATTTGAAGGTGGTAGATCATGATATTGCAGGGGAAGTTTTCTCCTGGATCGAAGTGTGGTTGAATAATAGACCACAGCAAGTTTGCATAAATAGGGATAACTCAGAATGGGAACGCTTCATAACTGATGTTCCACAGGGGTCGTTATTGGGCCCTTTATTGTTCACAATGTACATAAATGACATAGTTGAGTGATTAAATAGCACAAATCAGCAAGTTTGTCGATGACACTAAAATAAGCCATCAGATAAGTTCTGATGAGGATTAGAGTGCTACAGGAGGGTCTGGATAAGTTGGTACAATGATTGGAGAAGTGGCAGATGGAATTTTATGTAGACAAATGTAAGGTTCTAATCCTGGGAAGAGAAAATAACCATAGTACTTATAAACTAAATAATGTAGATCTCAATTATTCTCAGCTTTTAAAAGATGTCGGAGTCCTGGTTAGCAGTAATCTAAAGCCAAGACAACAGTGCATAAGTGTTCACAATTAAGCTTATAGAATTCTTGGCTTCATATGAAGAAGGATAAATAATAGTCCTCAGGTTATACTTCAACTTTATATATCTTTCGTAAGGCTTCATTTAGATTATGCTGCACAGTTCTTGTTTCAGTATTACAGAATGGATATAAATACAATGTAAAAGATGTTGAAGTTTATCCCATGAATCAGAAATCCTTCAGATGAGGATAGAGTGAGAGCACTGAAGCTGCACTCTGCACTGCTAGGTCATGATGTAGGCCAGCCCAGTAAGTGATGTAGACCTAGTAAAAAAATGTAAAACAGTTACAGGGTAAGGGGAGGCCTTACTCTATACATCCCTTTCCCAGGAAAATCATGCAGGGATAGGGCTGTATCCTTCCCCAAGAAAATTGTCTGAAATTGACCATTTCTGCCACATTGAGGTCTGTTTCAGAAGATTTCTGACCTAGACTAACCAAAATCTTTGCCATTTCACTAGTACAATAGGCCCACCTTTCTTGAGGGGTTACATTCCAGAAAAATGGGGCTAAACATAGAGCGAACTTTTTTATAATTAAATATTGGGTTGCGTTCCATGATCCCTCAAAAAGAATCAATCAATTTTCCTTTTAAATTCATAATTCACCTAAAATAATAAGCCAAGCATTACACAATGATTTTAAGACATACAGATGTTTTTGGCACATTAGAGCATGTTATTATTGTATGATACAGGATGATCTAACTTAACCTAATTAAGTTAAAAAAGAAAGTGAATATTATGTAGCTTAAATTCAGGTTTTTGTTGACTAAGTGACTTGAGGTCAGTGGAGTAGATAGATGTGGCTCTACTGGGCCCTGGATGATTGATGAGGTGGATGGCTGGTTTGTAGGCTGAGGTGGATGGTGGAGTTTGTGGGCTGAGGCAGATGGTGGAGTTTGTGGGCTGAGGTGGATGGTGGAGTTTGTGGGCTGAGGTGGATGGTTGAGTTTGTGGGCTGAGGTGGATGGTTGGGATTCGTAGGATGAGGTGATGGTGTTGCAGAGTGGTTCATCAGAGTACAGTGACAGGCGGTGATTCATCAGAGTACAGTGACAGATGGTGATTCATCAGAGTACAGTGACAGATGGTGATTCATGAGAGTACAGTGACAGGTGGTGGTTCATCAGAGTACAGTGACAGGTGGTGATTTATCAGAGTACAGTGACAGGTGATTTATCAGAGTACAGTGACAGATGGTGATTCATCAGAGTACAGTGACAGGTCGTGGTTCATCATAGTACAGTGACAGGTCGTGGTTCATCAGAGTACAGTGACAGGTGGTGATTTATCAGAGTACAGTGACAGGTGGTGATTTATCAGAGTACAGTGACAGGTGATTTATCAGAGTACAGTGACAGATGGTGATTCATCAGAGTACAGTGACAGGTCGTGGTTCATCATAGTACAGTGACAGGTCGTGGTTCATCAGAGTACAGTGACAGGTGGTGATTTATCAGAGTACAGTGACAGGTGGTGATTTATCAGAGTACAGTGACTGGTGATTTATCAGAATTAAACCAGAAATAATACATAAAAACTTCTTGAAAGCATCTGAGCTATTTCACTAATCTTATCTTGAGAGCTCCTGAGCTATTCCACTAGTCTTATCTTGTCAGTTCTGCACTAGAAGACTAGTCTTTTCTAAAGTACAGTGGACCCCCGACTTACGATCAGCTCCCAACTCGAACAGTTATGTAAGTGTATTTTTGTAAGTGCTTTTGTAAGTGTATTTTTGGGGGTCTGAAACAGACTAATCTAATTTACAATATTCCTTATAGGAACAAATTCGTTCGGTAACGGCACCCGAACAGACTTCTGGAATGAATTAATATCGTAAGTTGGGGGTTCACTGTATTATATTATACAATGTCTACATTTAAGTCATGTTGATATTTGTGAGTTTTTTGTTAGTTTTATTGTATGTTGTGAAAACCTTGTTAATGTCTGTGGTGAACCGACTACACATTCTTGCTACTGTACCTGGCATAAAAGATTTATTAGTGACGGTGGCTAAGTTTGAGAAGCACTTGTGCATAATCCATGCTTTGATCATGATAGGCCTACAAGACACCAACTACATATAATGGTGTTGTAACTTCAGTAATGATGTTTGTAACTTCCAGCCTCACGTAAGGAGAAAGTTGCAGTTCTGGGAAACATCATTGAGCGTACAGTGCCAGCCAACATTAGTCTCCTGGAATGGAAGCCTTCGCCTACTCCCACTGGCTTTCCCAAGGTTCACAGACTGCATAATTTGGTATGTGTTAAAGGAAATTTTTATAAAATTAGATAAGCTTGAAACATAAAAGTATGTACTCAAAGATTGATGGGGGATCCAAGCCCCATAGCTCAGTGGTATTGTGCTAGACCTGCATTACCAGGCCCATGGTTTGATCCCTCCATCCATTTTTTCTGTTTATTCATTTACACTTGGTTATTACAACTTAAATTGAGTTTATACAATATATGACTTTGAGGGAAGTGAGGATAGGTTTACTGTGAAAGCTGCTGGAGCTGTGGGATGGAATTAGTAGGGTCACAGCAGGTGCCGCTGATGAAGACAAGAGCATTAGTTCTGGGTGCTCCATGGCCTGGTGGCAAAAGCTCTCGCCTCACACGTTCAGGGTCCAGGTTCAATTCCTGGTGAAGGGGTGGAAACATTGGATGTGTTTCCTTACATCGGTTGTCTATGTTCACCCATAAGTAAAATGGGTACCTGGGTGTTAGTTGTTGATAGACAGCTTTTGCCTACACAGCCATCCCTGCAGGTGATGTCTCGAGAAGCTGTCGTATCCATTTCTCAGTGGGCTGGAATAAAAAATTTGTTATGGGTATAAATTACCCCTAGGGGGTATTATGTCAGCATGTCTCATAAACTGATTGCTGACAAAACTTACTTTTGTAGGCTCGATGGCCTGCAACTCACCGTGGTATATGGTAATTGTTAAGCATACAGAATACTTAACTGCACAGTCAATAATCATCACATGCTAAACAGACTTACCTGGGTTTGTGTAACAGACCCTTACTCCCAGGTATCATTGTCTTCTCTTAGATCACAACCTGGTGCTTTGTGACCCCTTAATGGGTTTAGCAGTAACTCATGAATATGACAAAGTATTTTTCTTTTTTGGGTCACCCTGCCTTGGTGGAAGACAACTGACAAGTTGAAAAAAAAATACCATTGCCGATGGTTGGTACTGTAGTGATTCTCCATTTTGTCTTCTTGTGCCAGTAGGTTTTTGGAAGATACTTTGATGCTTCCTTACACTGATGTGAGACTTTCAGAGATTGAAAGTAAAAACAAAAATCACAATACGTAAGATGCTGGAACAACTCGCTAACAATGCATGCTTAGGGTTGCAACCTTATGACAATGTTTTGGTCGTCATTGAGTGTTATGATTCAATAATGGTCCTAGATTGACCAAAACATCATCATAAGGTTCCTTTCCTAAGTGTGGGTTATTGACAAATTCTGAAGATTGTGTTCAATACACTGTATCTCAATAAGCTGAATCTTGGGATTGTTACTGTACAGTGTTGCTCCCTGTTTGCCAGTTGAACAGGTTTTTTAGTAGGGCATTATACTGTACTCAGTCTGATGGAAGAGGAACAAATTATCAGAAACACCAAAATTACCACAATGATCTTGAAGAGTTTGTTCCTCACATATGTGACAATTTAACAAGAATATTAACCCTTTCACTTTCAGGAACCCAAAATTAAAAATGCTGACAATGTTGTGATTTTTTTCTGAAATGATAAAAAATCTTCTGAAGTAATGACACCAAAAATATGAAATTTGATGGCAAACTTGAAAAATTACACAGGTGCAAAGTTGATGAACTGGGAGCAATTTATGCATAAGGGATTTTGTCCACTTTGATTCCTACCATATTTTAAATAAATTTCACTTTCAATTCCACCAAATTCTAAGCTGTCACTGGTAATCCTTCGGTTCTATTGATTGAGCACAAGAAATCACCCATTCAGCTATCAGAACTCTCATATAAAGTGCACAGGAATCGGTAATTTGGCCAGTTTTACACAAAATTCAACAAATTCCAATTTAAAAAGAGTCAAAAATATGAACTGCATGCATTTTAGCAGTAAAATCAACCTACAGTGGAACCCCGAGTTTCGTATGCCCTGAGTATATTATGCTTTGAGTTTAGACCACTTTTTTCGGCTCAATTTTGTACTGAGTTTCGTACTATGCCCCCGTGTTTAGTACTGCATACCAGACCTGTCCGCCTGCTTGCACCTGCCCGCGTCCCCTGCGTAGGCGTCGTGAGCCAGTCTGGCTTTGTTTATGCTTGAGTGAACTCTAACCTGTGTGCTCATCCAAACATTTCACAATTAATTCATTGCGTTTGGTGCTTGTTTATTAAGGGCGACTGTGAATAAAGTACCATGGGCCCAAAGAAACTTCCTACTGGCACCCCTTGGTAAAGAAAGTGAGAAACACCATAGAAGTGAAGGAGATGGTGCAAAAATATGAGAGTGGTGTGCGACTTGTGGGGCTTGCCAGGATATATGGCAAAAGCAAATCAGCAATCACTTCTATCCTGAGAGGGAGTGACTTCCAGGACTTTGAACTCTGCTTGGAGAAAATTGTGGCCAGATTGTGTTCTCCAGAGAGATTTTGAAAGGTTTGAGGCTGACCCTGACCCTGCTGACCCTCTACCTGTTGTGGAAGGTATTGTGGCATTGGGGAAGTCCATGGTGTTGGAGGCGAGTGGCAAGGATGTGGAAAAGTTGGTGGATGACCACTGAAGAGCTGCAAGAGCTTCATCTGGAACAGCATCAGACCACAGCTGAGGAACTTGCTTCATAGGAGGAGGAAGAGGGAGTGGATGAGGGGCGTTCTTCACAGAATAAGGAGATTTGTGCAATGTGGAATAGGGTGGAGGCATTTGCTGAAAAATATTACCCTGACCAAGCTGAAACAAGCCATCTCTGCAGCAAGTTTAGTGACAGAACCATGCCCCATTTTAGGGAAGTCTTAAGAGGTGCCAGAGACAGAGGACTGTGGACAGTTATTTTGTGAGACGGGTCTAGTGACTCTCAAGCTGGTTCTAGTTACATTAAAAGACAAAGAAGGGAAGTAAACCTAGATAAGGACTTGTTACCTTAAGGCTTTATGGAAGGGGATTTCAATTCCAAACACTAAGCCCTCCTCACTCCTCCTCCCTATCTTCCAGATGCCATCAACAGTCTTCAATAAAGGTAAGTAAAAAATTTTATTTTAAATGTTTATTTTTCCATTACTAATTTAAGTGCTATTTATGTTTGTTGTGTGTATGTAAAACTATAATTAATATATAAAATGTATTTTTTGTTAATATTTTTGGGTGTCTGGAACGGATTAATTGGATTTACATTATTTCTTATGGGAAATATTGCTCCAACTTTAGTACACTTCGACTAGCTCCTGGAATGGGTTAAGTATGAAACTCGGGGTTCCACTGTCTGTTACACTTGCCTTCCATTTTCAGTCTGTCATCACATAAAAATATGGATGTTTTACCCTATTTTTCAAATAATAAAATATAACCAAGAATGATTAGTCATGGTTTAGGCCATCCCAGTAATTGAAGCAGACCTAGTAAAAACCAATAAAACAGATTGTGGGAAGTAGGGGAGCCTTACCGTTTCTCAGGAAAATTGTTAAAAATTGAATATTTCTGCTACTTCCAATCCTAAAACCAATCAAAATCATTTGTATTTCTGGTTGACTCTTGTATACAGTTAATAATCAGTTGAGGGATGATTGACACTAAATATTGTCTCTGGTTTTACAGACTAGCACAAGAAGTTCAGTCCCTGGAGCAGAAAAGAAATCGCTGTACATGCAACATTTAGAAAGTGAAGGTCTGTTGACTAGGACAGTGAACACTGGCAGCAGTTGTGCTGCCAGTAGTGAGAGTCCATCATTCCTGAGCAACACTTCACAAGATCCTGCAGTGTCAGCCTTAGGTATGAGTACTAACTGCAATCACTAGTCTTACTTTTATGTGGGGTTTCTCACCCATAACTAATGGAAAAAATGTAGGAAACATGATTGTTCCTTCAACAACTGACCGCATCCCACTGAAGCAGGGTGGCCCACAAAGAAAAATAAAAGTTTCTCTTTTTAACTTTAGTAATGTATACAGGAGAAAGGGTTACTAGCCCCTTGCTCCTGGCATGTTAGTGGCCTTTCATGACACACATGGCTTACGGAGGAAGAATTCCGTTCCACTTTTCCATGGAGATAAGAGGAAGTAAACAAGAACAAGAACTAGTAAGAAAATAGAAGAAAACCCAGAGGGGTGTGTGTATATATATGCTTGTACATGCATAAGTAGTGTGACCTAAGTGTAAGTAGAAGTAGCAAGATGTACCTGAAACCTTGCAAGGAAACATGATTCTTAACATTAAAAGTAACACTTTCTCTTTCACAAAGCCTAGCACAGTAGCATCTTGGAGAAGTGCTACAACATATCACCAGGAAAGCTGTAAGTTCCAGATCAGTCAAGTGGTTATGTAGTCATGCAGGACACTTATCAGTATCTTAGTGTATCAGGTCACCAACAAGGATGTCTGGACTCAGGCTGAGCTATGAGTGTATAAGTATAACTCTTAAAACGAGTGACAGGTGATGTACCACAACAAAAACGTGTTTTTTTATTAACATATTGGCCGTTTCCCACCAAGGTAGGGTGGCCTGAAAACGAAAAACATTTATCATCATTCACTCCATCACTGTCTTGCCAGAGGCATGCTTACACTACAGTTATAAAACTGCAACATTAACACCCCTCCTTCAGAGTGCAGGCACTGTACTTCCCATCTCCAGGACTCAAGTCCGGCCTGCCGGTTTCCCTGAATCCCTTCATAACTGTTATTTTGCTCACACTCCAACATCACGTCAAAAACTAGTGATACCAAATCATTGAATTTTTAATACACAGATAACCAGCACTTACGAGACTGAAACTTGTGACGATATTTTGGCCTGACTTGGATCATTAACCCTTTCACTGTCAAGACCCTTGATTCTAAACTCACTCTCAATGTCGAAAAATATATGAAAAAAAAAACAATTATTTTTTCTTTCCAAAATCTTAAGAATATTTTTGTGTTTTAAAAGAAAAAAAAATTGTGATCAGTACTTACCGAGATAAAGGCTTGAAGGTCTAAAAAATTTTATTATGAAAACAGATTATATAACATCAAAGGTGATATGAAAAAGACCTGGAAAACTCTATCTGAAATTCCAAAAACAAAATAATCAAATTAACAAAATCAGATGAACCCCTACTCCCACCAACTGAAACAGCAAACGCTCAATGTTTTCTTCTCCACCATAGGAAAGCTCAAACACCCGTCCATCAGACTGCCTCATGAGCACCTACCTGAATACACAATTCCTAGCTCCTACCAACCCAACAGAAGTCTCACTCATCATCAACACTCTTAAGAAGCATCTTTCCATCATACATTGCCCAAGTTCAAATAAGATAGTCCAACAAACAAATGAGATACAATTCCCGAGATCAAGAGCAAGAGCCCCTCACCAGTGTCAAGGAACCTGCCTTGAGGTCTGCTCGCTTGTGGAAATTTTGCTCGCGTATGGAAGCAAAAAATCGACCCACCGACTGCTCGTACCTGTACAGAGGTCCCTCAATAATTGTCCGGCCTGAAAGTCGTCCATTTCAGAAATAGTCCCGTTATTTCGCCTGGTCACAGACCGGGCCGCGGGGGCGTTGACCCTCGGAACTCTCTCCAGGTAAACTCCAGGTAAACATTGACTTGCAAATGGTCCGTTAACTCGCTAATCGTCCTTCGTCTGGGACGGGTACTCATGCTCTGAGCCACCTGGGCCTGCCTTCCCAGCCAGTGTGCCATTGTTTACCAGTGAGCGACGGTCCCCTCACATGCTCCTACGAAATATTTCATAATATTCCATTGATTTTAGTGCTTGCAAGTGCTAAATAAGCTACCATGGCTCCAAAGAAAGCTTCTAGTGCCAGTTCTTTGGTAAAGAATGTGAGAAACACACAATTTATGAAAAAGTTTGTAGAAAAATACAAAGGTGGTGGTGGTAGAGTGGAAGCAGTTGTGATAGTGGTTGGTGGTGGTAGTGATGGTGGTAGAAGGTAGTAGTGATGGTGGTAACAGTTGTAATAGTGGTAGAAGGTCATAGTGATGGTGGTAGAGGGTTCCTTCTTTAGTGATTCAGCGATTCTATCAACTCCTCCAATGTTGTTGGAGTTATATAGCGCTACAGAAAACACCGCCGCCTCAGCTGCTGCTTCACCACCATTATGGATGGCTTACTCTCAGTGGCCCTTATATACCCAACAACAACACAACACAACACCTCTTGTGGCATACATAATGACTTATTTTATTCATTCTAGAGTATATTCCATGTTTCTATGTTATTAATATTGTTTATTATGTCATATTAGTTGAATTGCGATAGATAAATAAGCCATAGAGTTGATATTAGTGTCATATTCTCCAACAATAAACTTGCCATCCCTCCCTCACACAAACAAATCTCCAATAAGAACATAAGAAAGGAGGAACACTGCAATAGACCTGCTGGCCCATACTAGGCAGGTCCTTTACAATCCTTCCCACTAAGAACATAACAATGGAAGAACACTGCAGGTCTACTGGCCCATACAAGGCAGGTCCTTATCAAAATGACCTCTACCCAAAGCTACCCAAGAATCTACCCAAAGCTACCCAAAAATTTACTCCCATACCCAATGACACAAATCAAACTCAGCTCCTCCAACTCATATATTTGTCCAGTCTTTTCTTAAAGCTACCCAAGGTCCTAGCCTCGATCACCCTACTGGTAAGTGTGATGTTAAATAAGAACTTAAGAAAGTAGGAACAGTGCAGTAGGCCTGCTGGTCCATAATAGGCCGGTCCTTCACAAATCCAACCCACTAACACAACAAATGCTACCCAAGCGATAAGCTCAGGTGCAAGTCCGACTCAAATCCAACCCCTCTCACTCATGTATTTATCCAACCTAAATTTGAAACTACCCAATGTTTTAGCTTCGATCACCCTACTAGGCAGACTGTCCCACTCATCAACTACCCCTATTACCAAAGTTTTAGCTTCGATCACCCTACTAGGCAGACCATTCCACTCATCAACTACCCCTATTACCAATGTTCATTTATACATTTTATTAGTGCTTTACATTTATTTGGCATTTTTTCTGCATGTAAATCTATATTTATGCTAGGGAAGTGACCCCTGAAGTGACCTAGAGTCCTTATGGAGGGGGATTCCCCTTCCAAACAATAACCTCTCTGTGGAAAAAGACACTTATGTACAGTTCAGGACATTTATTAAAGGAAACGTTTCGCCACGAGTGGCTTCTTCAGTCCTAATACAGAGAAAACTAAGAAAAACGCATATATATAGTGGCAGGAGTCAGGTGAAGTGACGAGTGGGTAGAGGTGGTAGTAGTAGTAGTAGTAGTAGTTGAACTAAGGAAGTGATTTTAGAGAGGAACCTGCTGACATCATGTAACAGCAGTTCCCAGGATGGGTAATATCCTCTTGATTAGTAATTTTGAAATACTGTAACTACCGGATTTTTGCTTTATAGTGTTACTGACAGTGATTAGTGCAGCTTCAATGCATTTTCTCCGTCTTAAGTCGTCTTCTTTAATCACTAATTTAGCTTCATTGAATTTCATGAGGTGTCCAACATCGTCCCTATGTTGAACACATACAGCAGAAACTACGGCTCTCAAGAAAACTTTCCTCTCTCTGTCAACACAGCAAATGGAAAGACATTGGTAGAACTGACATCATCAATAATCTTTCTTCTTATGTTCTCAGTGATACAGAATCCGAAGCACTCAGCTTAGGTCTCAAGTTTGCTACTGGCATATGGAAGCCTAAATGCGAGTTAGATACAGTGATCAAAAACCATGACTTAGGTGACTCTGAATTTAACAAAGATTTCATACAAGGACTTATTGCAGCTGCAGTTTCTGAACCTAGTCGTCCAGTCATTCCTCGTCGCTACATCCAGGCATTCAAAAACTTGGCCGCTAATAATGATATTCTCATCACCACAGCAGACAAAGGAGGAGGAGTGGTCATCCTCAACAGTACAGACTACGTTAGTAAGATGCAAGATTTATTGAACGACGCCAACATATACGTTTCCATCCCCAAACATGCATGGAAAAAAGAAACAGATTCTTTTCTCAGTAAGACCCGCAGCATACTCAGGAAATCAGAAGAAGGTAAAGAGCTCTTGTGCCTCATCCCTACCAACCCCAAGTCAGCAAGATTTTATGGTTTACCAAAGACCCACAAACCAAATGTGCCTATGAGACCCATTACATCTGGAATCGGCAGCGCCCCACACAGTCTGGCAGGAGTTTTGGCGAAATATTTGTCTAAGCTCCTGGGTACAATCAGTCTGGCTCACCTAAAGCATTCGGGTGACCTTAACCGTATCAGGGATCTCGACATGAGTGATAAGAAGCTTGCAAGTTTTGACGTGACTGCCTTATTCACCAATGTCCCAGTTGATCAAGCCATTGATCTTCTTCGCAGGGTGATTAACGATGATACAGAGTTACCTGTACTCCGCCAAGATTTTGTGAGCCTTGTCGAACTTTGTGTTTGTTATAACTGTTTTAGGTTTGAGGACAAGAAGTACAAACAACTCTTCGGACTAGCCATGGGATCCCCCCTTAGTGCAGTTCGTGCCAATTTATATATGGAGGACCTGGAATCCAGACGGATCCTCAGTAACATCCCTCGTTCAGTTACATGGATGCGGTACGTTGATGATATTTTGGTCATTGTACCCAAAAATCTAGACATACATGACATCCTCAGCACCATCAACACTCTGGAACCTACTATTAAATTTACACTAGAGGAGGAGAAGGACAACCAAATATCTTTTCTCGACGTTCTCCTACGCACGGGGAAAACAGACTTTCTTTTAAAGTCTACCGGAAACCTACCTACAAGAA